AGGTGGGCAAGTGCCCTGAAGCATCTCTGAACCAACATCTGTAATGGCGGTTTTGGCAAAAGGGCCTATGAGCCCAGGTGACCAGAAGCTTCCGTCCTCACCTGTGGAGTCCCTGGGGAAGAATGCCTTAGCGTGGCCTCCAGACAGAAAGCCCAAACAGCCTGTTAGGGACATGCCACCACCAGACATGGAGTGGGCCTTCCTCGCTGCTCATTCTGGTTGGTTTAAACCAAGGTTGGGGCCGGGAAGCCCCATGTGACCGAGTGAAAACTCACAGCTGGGTCCAGCCCAGCAGGCCTCTGGCTGTTGCTGTCCTCCCTCTCTACGGTCTGCAGCTTCCTTTTTCCATGTTCACTGTTCGCACGGGGCCTGGAGAAAGTGAGTCAGGGTGTCTGGCTCCAGGACCACCGTTGTCAGGGTCTCCTGACACCCTGCTGCCCCGGGGCTGTGACTCATGGATGAGGCTGGGGTAGGCCAATGTCGGAATGTGGGTCCAGTGGTTAGGGTCTCTCTTCAGATGGAAAGGCACCTGTGCCTGAGGGGAGCCCCCACGGCAGGCAGAGTAGTAGTGACCGTTACACTATGGCGCTGTGGGGCTGGGAACCAGTCCTGACCTCACCAGCAGGTCACTGGCTCCCTGGCTCCCCCCAGCAGCCAGCGAGCCGGAACCCCGGCTCACCACAGCTGTTCTCTCTTCTCTCCCGACTACAGTTTGCTTCCTCAGGGCTTTTTACTATCTGGCTCCTTTGGTTTCTGATCTAGTGGCCTTTCTCAGTTCCTGTACCAACAGCTTTAGTTGTACACCCCTCCTGCCTTTGAGGTGAGATTGAACCTTGCATCCATCCATCTCTTCCCTCCTCCATCGCTGTCCTGCATCCGCCACTCCCCATGGACCACTGTGTTCTGTGTCCCGGAACCCCCATCTCCATGCCGTGTGACGTGCCATCGGCCCAGCCTTCTCCCCCATCAGTGCCGCGAGTGTGGCAGCTCTGGCAGGCTGATGCCACCTTACCGTAGACGGGTTTTTACCACAGGAATAGCAAAAGGCGTGGGATCGTGACCAGTTCTTGTGTGTGTGTGTGTGTGTGTGTGTGTGTGTGTGTGTGTGTGTGTGCGTGCGCACATGCTCCGGAATTTGCTTGATGAATTTGGCTGTTTAAAATGTAAAAATGCAATCTGAAGTGACCGTGCCAGGGAAAACATGGCAGCTTTGAAAGGGCTTCTTGCTGAAGGTCTGTGACTTGTCTCTCTGGTGCTGAACAAGATACTTCATTGAGTTTGTCCTCGGTGTAGAGAACGACGCTAGGAGCCGTGTGCCGAGTGCTGGCAAAAATGACACAGGGTTAATCTGAGAGGCAAATGGAAAACCGGGCTGGCAGGGAGAAGATGAGGAGGAGCCGGCGGGAGCAGGGAGGAAGCTGAATGTGATGGAGGGTGAGGACGGAAGGAGAGCAGAGGTGTCCAGGCTGTCAGCAGTGACCGTGAGGTCAGAAAGGTCCTGTGGCTTCATTCTGAAACCTCAAAGTACTCAGGTCACACCCACAGGTCAGGACTTGAGTGACACAGGGACAGACAAGCTACTGGGCAGTGGGGCCAGGCTCTCCAGGTCTGTGCCCTCAGCTCCTGAGTGGCTGCCCAGAGCCCGTCTTTCCCTGCTGCATGGAGCCTACCCCAACCTGGCCTCACCCGCCACGTGCTTGGATCCCAGCCATTGAGTCCCCGTGGGTTTGTCTGAGGGTCTTTTTGTCAGGACGTCAGAGCTCACAGCTGGGTTAAAAGCTGAAGGAGGCAGGAAGGTGGTGGTGTGGTTTGCTGTCTGGTGATGACCACACAGAGCTCCTCACAACCTGTTAGCAGCAGAGCCCATGGTCAGGTGGGCCCCTTCTACAGAAGTCAGAATCCGGTGACTAGAAATGAGCTGCTCACCGCCGCTCTTCTGTAGGACAGGGCAGGGCTACTTGTCTAAGTGACCAGCTAGTCAGGGGGGTGAGATCCTTACCCCATGAAGAAGCTAACAGAAGTCGGACTGAGGTGGAGCAAGACAGTGTCTCAAGATGATACTGCCCACAGCTTCAGCCATGTGGGAGCCTGGCCGGGGTGTGGGGAGGCAGTCCCAAACAGCCACCATTGCTGGTGTGGGGCATTAGCGACAGCCTGGAAGTGATCTGAAAGGGGAAATTCTGACACGGGTAGCCTCTTGGGACCAGCTCGTTGAGCTAGAGCTGAGAAGCTAAGGTCACTCTGGGCTGACTGAGGGTGAGGTGGCAAGCCAGACCACGGGCATCCAGACGGCCCCACGAGCTAATATAGCACGGGGCTGTTCTGTTATCTAGGCCTCAAGACGCTGGCTGAGACTGTCCTGGCACGGTACCAACATTCACCGCTTTCTTGGTCCCCAGCCCCAACTAGTGCTTACTCATCTCATCCCTCATCGTCACCTGCCCTGACATCTGTCACCTCCCTGTCCAACCCCAGGGCCAGGGAGGAGCAGCTGCTTATCCACATCCTTTCCTTCTCTGCAGGACGACATGCACAGGGTCATTGACAGGCAGCTGATGGACACGCACCTGAAGGAACAGAGCCGGCCTGCTGCGGCCTTCTCTAGGGGCCACGGCGTCGGGCGGGGGCAGGAACCCAGCACCGCGGACAGCAAACGGCTCTTCTCCTTCTTCAGGAAAATTTAAGTGGGGAGGAGTCAGGCCATGGAGGATGGAGAGGCAGTTGAAGAGGGTCTCCCGTCAGCTTCAGCTGGAGCCCGTGGGTTCCAGTGGGTTCATTGCCTTTTGTTAGTGTGATGGAGACCGAGAAGTAGGGCCTGCCTTGTCTGAAGGCTGCTCCCTGCCAAGGGACAGGAATGAATCCTGTCCCCACTGCCCAAGCCAAGCCTCAGCCTGGGCTTCCCCAGGATCCTGTTAGTGAGCAGGGCTCACGCCACCGCTCATGCAGTCCACTGACGGACTCTGCCACTCAGACCCAGCTCCTCACAGCCCACCCTAAAGGCTCTGCTGCCTCCTTGGACTTTGACCATGGGGACAGACTGAGGCCTCCTGTGCATGCCTCAGGAGGCCCGAGCCTCCATTCCTGCGCCAGCCACTTGCCTGGAGTAGGGGAGGCACAGCCCCTCACCCATGTGCATGCACCTCTGCCGGAGTGAGTCCCTGTAGGGCAGGAGCCCCAGCCTAGGGCTGTAGGGCCTAAGAACCGGGTTACCCAATCTCCACCGAGGCCATTCTGTACCCCCAGGGAAGGTCCTGTCTTCTGGCTGCCTCCACTCAGCTTCCTCCAGGGCAGACAGTCCTTACCCCTAGTGAGGCCTGGGCCTGGCAGCATTCCCACTGGCCCTCTAGAGGCTTTAACCTTCCAGACTTTTCCCCTCGTGGGTAGGGCTGGGAGAGCACTGGTCTTCCACAGCTCCCTCCCACCTCAAATACAACCTGGCCAAGTCGAGCAAGTTCAGGCCACAGGATGGCCTCCTAGGGGACTAGTTTAACCACCCACACATGGAAGGCAGCGTGGGTACCACAGGGTGGATGCCACAGGGTGGATGGGGTAAGGCTGCTGGGAGCCTCCAGATACTGCCCACCAGGCCTACAGGGGACAAGGCCTGCAGCCTGCTGCTTCTGCTCCTCCCGCAGCAGCCATCCCGATCCCTGCTGAGGCCCCGGCCCCGAGGATCTCTGGGCCCAGCCTGCAGCTGCTTACCACTCCCGAAGCCTCCTGCCCTCCACGGGGAAAAGCACAGCAGGGCTGAGCAGAAAGAATGTACTTATAGATATGTACATACCACAGTGCTGTAATTTTGTATGTAGCAATTGTGTAAATACACGTATGGATTTTATAATACACATATATAAATCTATAAAGGCATATTTTTAGAAAAACAGCGCACCACTGCTTCTTTTGAAAATAGTCTAAGAATAAAATTAATTTCTACAGACCTGCTGCCTCAGTTCCTGGGTGTGTGGAGGGTTGTCTGTCACCAACCTGCTTTGTGTGTCACAAGCCACCACTGGCTGCGGCGGCAGCGGCGGGGTTAGTACCGAGCCAAAGGGTCCTTTGTGAAGGTGGCAGGGTCTTGCCCCACACCCTCTTGTCCAGCATGGCAGAGACTTCAGCTGGAAGAGCTCCCTCCAAGCAGATGCTTCCACTGCATCCTTCCGGCATGTGAAGAATAAACATGGAGCTTCCCCTGACATCCTCCCACACGTGCTCTGGGCCCAGAAGGGAACCACCGTCCTGAACCGTCCATTCATGGAGAAACCAGACTTGGCCCTTGACAGTTTCCCAGGCCCCTCGATGGGCACCTATGATCAACAAGAGCTGGACCCAACAGTGGAAGAAGCCAGGTACCCAGAGCACAGCTAGCTGGAGGAGAGCAAACGGACCCTAGAAGGAAATTTGGCAGCTTGAACCTTTATTTTTAGTAATTTTTTTTAAAAAGCATAATTAGAAACTTTCAATACAGAAATAATCCTAGCAAACCATTTAAAAGTTTGTTGGTTGACAGGAGTTTCACATCAGGTCCACCAGGACACCAGTTTAGCACTGAGTCCCCCACCCCCACCCTTACCCCACCCCACCCCACTCATGCATGTGACACTCTGCGGGACAGGCACGCTGCTGTCACCAAGTCACCCATCACCTGGGCCTTAACAGGCAGGTGCCAGAAGCCACAGAGGCACCTAACTTGGGCTGGATGCTCCAAGATCACCCTCTTATTGCTTGAATTGGCAAACACCTCCACACTGGTTCCCACGTGCTCAGAAGCATGTGTGACCCCTTCTGCCCCCTGTCGGCCAAGACAGTCCTGAAAACAGAATCTGCCTCAACTCCTGGCTCACCTGGATCGTATGGAGCCGCCTACTGCTTGGCCCTGAAGTGTCCCCCACAGCACCCACCTTCCTAGGCCCACAGCCCCCAAACCCAGCCTGCAGCTCAGAAACACAGGCCTGTCGCACAGAACCCCAGCTTTGGACAGTCTGGACAAGTGGAGAGACAGGTGAGAAGAAAGCCCCAGTTTTATTGATTAAAAACCCGTCCACAGTGTTAACATGGAAAATCTGCAGTAATCTGTGATGATTGTCCGGTCAGGACTGCCTGGAAATCGCCTAGGAAAGGAAATCTAAAACACATCATGGTGTCCAAATCAGTTCTTCCCAGTTACGTGATCCTTTAGGGGAAAGGGAACCAAGTGTCCTGGGGGAAGGGGGAAGTAATCAAATGTAGATTACCCTGATTTTTACTCCAGGGGACTGGGGGGGGGGTCAATACTGGCTGCCCCCCACCCCACTGCCACTTCTTCCCAGTGGCCAAGAAACTTCCTCCCGCCTTCATACTAAACAGGTCTGTCAGTCACGCAAAGGTGCCTGTCCCCGCTCGGAGGTGTCCTCCCATACCCAGCACCCCCTGCGTGTGCCGGAGGTGCCTGGGACCACATTTCAAACTGGCTCCCCTGGGAGGCCCTTGCACACACGGGAGCAAGGGTACAAAGTTGCTCTCTCCCCATGAAAGGGAAAGAGCCTGACCCCGCAGTGACCAGAAGCCACACACCTTTTCTAAAAGCACTGGACCCAAAGTGGGACATCACAACTTTTGCTAGTGAGCCAAACAGGTCGTCTCACGGAAATAACTGAGGAACTTAATTCGCTTCATTTGGCTTCACTTGGCTCCGTCTGTTACAATAAGGCTCCCCCTTGCAAGCTCCATCTCTGAACACCGGTACCCCTACCTTTCTGCTGGAACTGAAACATAGTGGGTAAGTGAGAGAAGCCACAGCTCCCCTGGGTTTGTAGCAGAGGCATCTAGAAGGCAGAATGAGAAACCTGTTGGCCAAATGGGCAAGACTGACTTCCTCTGTGGAACTGAGGGCCAGGGCCAGCCGAGGGCAGGGCCTGTGTGGAGGCCAGGTTCCCCAGCTCCCAGAGGTCAGGAGCCGTGTAGAGTGCACTCCACGGGCCCAGGTTGGCCAAAGACTCAGCTAGGACATGAGGCTGGCTCCTCGGGAAGCTGCCGTCGAGACGGGACAGGAGGGCTCGGGAGGGTCTGTTGCAGCAGGTTGGCAGGAAGGAGGCAAAAGCCAGAGCAGGCTGAGGGTGTGCAGCTGGTTAATGCAATATACACTATGTACAAACTGGTTAATCAGTCCGCTCGGCTGGCAGCGTCCTCGACAGGTCCAGGCGCCTCAGCAGGGAGGTGGGCACCAGTGGGAAGGGCAGGCTCGTCCAACACCTTCTTGGCACTCAAGGGGAAAGGGGAGGAAGTGCCGATGGCGCCTCCCGGTACAAAAAACGTGGAGAGAATTCTTTAAATAACGGCACTAAACTGAGACTGTCCCCCGAGGAGCCTCCGAGGCCTCGGGCTGGGGAGGGTGCAGTGCAGTCTCTGCAGTGGACTGGCCCATTAGCAGCAGCGTTTCTTTCGTTTACTGTTTTTCGTGAGCTTCACCACATCGTTCTGTTGCTGCTGCTGCTGTTTTGCCAAGTTGTCTTTCTTTGCTCGTAGAACCAGCTCTGTGATGCAGTTGAACATCTGGAGAGATGACAGGGTAAGGCTGACCTGAGACCTAGTGCGGCGGGCGCCCTTGCTGGCCAGCACAGCCACCTCCCCAGGCAATTTTCTGTTCCTCTGTCAACTGTGTGTGTGTGTGTGTGTGTGTGTGTGTGTCGGGGTGTCTGACTGTGACTATCTATGGAGCCCAGCCTGGCCGTGAACTCACAATTCTCCTCCCTCTGCCTCCCCGGTGCTAGGGTTGCCGGTGTGTGCTCTATGCCCTCAAAACACACCCGAGGGCAGCGGCTCTCGGCTTTCCTAACGCTGCCACCCTTCAACACGGTCCTGCATGGGGTGCTGACCCCCAACCATAACTACTTCATTGCTACCTCATAACTAATTTTGCTACTTTTATGAATCATAATTAAATATCTGATATGCAGGATATCTAATATGCAGCCCCTGTGAAGGGTTGTTCAACCCCCAAAGGGGTCATGACCCCTGCTGTGGGATGGTCTGTATGTCAAATTGCTCTGATTGGTCAATAAATAAAATACTGATTGGCCAGGCAGGAAGTATAGGCGGGACTAACAGAGAGGAGAAAAGAAAGAACAGGAAGGTGGAAGGAGTCACTGCCAGCCCCCGCCAGGACAAGAAGCATGTAAAGATGCTGGTAAGCCACGAGCCACGTGGCAAGGTATAGATTTGTGGAAATGGATGAATTTAAGCTATAAGAACAGTTAGCAAGAAGCCTGCCATGGCCATACAGTTTGTAAGCAAAAATAAGTCTCTGTGTTTACTTGGTTGGGTCTGAGCGGCTGTGGGACTGGCGGGTGACGGAGATTTGTCCTGACTGTGGGCAAGGCAGGAAAACTCTAGTTACAACCCCCAGGTGGAGAAGAGCTGCTTTAGGAGGGAGTGGGGTCAAAGGTTAAAGGGAATGCTGAAAGACCACAGCTGTCTGGGGAAGTCAATCTCTTGGGTATTCTCAATCTTTTTTCCTGTATGTGGGTCTGTGCATGTGAGTGCAGTACCCACGGAGCTGGAGTTTCAGGCGGGTGTGAGCCGCCTGGCCTGGGTACTGGGAACTGAACTCAGTGATGGGCTCCAGAGAGGGCTGACGGGAAGCAGCTGGGATAGAACCTGCAAGGCTTTGGGGTGGCAAAGATCTGGGCTTGCCGCCAGCTCTCCCTGGTTGATTCTTAAGGGGATCCCACCTCAGAGGACAGCTGAGCTAAGACAGACTCGGCCTGACAGCGGCAGCCGGCAGTGGCACTGAGTAACTGCTGGTCACTCACACATGAGCAGACCTGAGTGGGGAGAGCGCTGTGGTGAAGGGAGGTCTGCTGCAGGCGCATGGGTCCTCCTCACCTGCCCCTCTGACGGGGATCGGGCAGAGCTTACCTCTTCCACGTTGACATTCTCCTTGGCACTGGTCTCAAAGAGCTGGATCCCCATCTGCCCAGCAAATTTGTAGGCGTCTTCTGTCTCTACCACCTTCCGCTCAGGATCGTCATTCTTATTACCCACTTGAAGACAGAGCACAGTCAACCCCTGGCCAGGGCACCGCCCTCTCTCCCACCACCCCCTCCCTCCAGGTCCAGCCTCACCTAATATTCGGCACACATCGTCACAGTTCTGGTTGATTTCATGAAGCCATCGCTTGACATTAACAAAGGACTCGGCACTAGTGACGTCGTAAACCACAATGACCCCATGGGTCCCCCGATAGTACCTGTAGAGCCAAGATGGGCATCAGGGCTTCGGCCCAGGACAGAGAAGCTGCTTCCCCGGGACCCGCTTGCCACGGCAGGACAGTGGCTGGGGAAGGTGAGGGGCCCAGGGGCCAGGACTAAGCCCTGCACCCAGCCCTGACCACCAGTCACAGCCAAGCTTGACCAGCTGGACAGCACTGGCTTCTCGGGCCTGACCCTGGCAGCAGTGGAGAAGGCTGGGAGCAGTCTGAGATGGACCAGGCAGGAAGTCACCGTAGGTGACCGAGTGTACCACCAGCTGGAAACTTCTTTGAGGTTCTCCTTTTATTTTTGTCATTCAGGCAGTTTTTGTGTCTGATATCATGCTATCCCCATCCTGGTTTAAACAGCCACACTTTCAAATCTTGGTAGTAAAATGTCATTCCTGGAGGCTGCACCTTACAAGAAGCCATGGCACAGTGTGTCCCTTTCCCCTGGTGGGCAGGTGACACTTCTTTTCCTGCTCTTGGCTCACTGCCCCAGGGACAGAGAATGTAGAGGCTACACAGGCCTCCAGCAGTTGCAGGAAGGACTCAGCTAAAGCTGGATACCCCAAACCTGCCAAAGCTCTAGAAGGAAGGAGGGTGCCCCCACTCCCCTCTGAACATCCGGTCCCCAGATGGCAGCACCAACCCTGAAGCACAGGGCCAGTGGCCAAGCAACACTCCTGGCCCCTCTACCTAACCGCCCAGGCTGTTTCCGGAGCCTTGTCTCTAGAGCACCCGTCCTTGATGGCTACGGTCTTGGAACAACGAGACTCCAAACCCCAGGGCTCCTCCCATGCAGCTCTACTGGGCAGCACTTCCCCAGCCTGGGTGCCAAGATGGCTCCACAGCAGACGGGTAAGGGCAGCCAGCCATCTAGTCACCTCTCTGTAGTCAAGACCTATCCGAGGACAATGGTCAAACCTCGTCTCACCTCTGTGAGCTGTGGACTCTGCACAGGCTACCTGGTTTCTTTCCATCCCCTACCCCTTACCTCAGTTTCTTCAATTATAAAATAGGGGTGCTAGGACAAACCTGTGAGGAGGTAACAGATGCCACCCCAAGGCTGGGAGCAGTGTGAAGACCGTGCTGGGGGCTCTTATTATCAGGACCGGTGTCCCTCCACAGCCATCTGGAGCCCCAGATGAGGGGGCAGAACCAAGAGGGGGAGGGCAGGGCAGGGCAGCCCCAGGGCCCTGCTGCCCGAGACCTGCCCACCCTCAGACACAGGGGAGCCCTCCCAGGACACCCTACTCCGTCTACCGACTTTGTCCAAGGCTCTGAAGGAACCCCTGAAGAACCACCCTGCCCTGGTCCCCAGCACACCGCTGCCCTGAGCACGGGCTCAGCACACAGCACAGCCTGGGTGCCTCTGGGCAGGCGTGGGAAGCACGTGGACGAAGCCTTTCCTGCAGCAGCAGGCCTCTGTAGCCTTACCCTCAGGAGACCCCAAGAAGTGGCTCATCACTGCCCTACCTCCTGCCACTCCAGCACTCCAGGAGAGCTTGGCCAGGGAGGGGCCTTGGCTGGGCCGGGGTGGAAGACACCAGGGCTCCCGGTCGTGTGACCCAAGTGCCTCACTCCTCTGAGGGCCCCTCAGTCCAGTGGGCGCTGTGGCCCCAGCACCCGGCCTGTTTCCTAGGCCAGTGCAAGGCTCCACCCTTCTCCCCCAGCCACCCGGGGGGTGGGGGGAGGCAAAAACCTCCTCAAGAACAGTTAGGACTGGGGATAGCAGCAGGGCCCTTTTGGCAGATACACGGGATACAGCCGTTCCCGCTCCTACAGACCGCCACACCCCCAAAACGGTCGACTATCTCAGGACCCTCCCTTCTTCACAGCCACCGTCACAGGGGGACCAGTCTCTCCAGGGCCCCCTTGGCAGGCAGGCAGGCCCTGAAGTGCCTTCTGCCTCAGAATGGGCCAAGCCTGAGACCCCAAGGTTGGCAGGGCTAACCTTGGTTTGCCCAGACATGTAGGCAGACAGGACAGTGCCCTGTGCCTAGAGTCCTGGGCCATGGCACTCGTGCCCACCACAGGGTAGACAGGACAACGCACCCACCAAGCTGAGCCTCAGCCGAGGAGCCCAGTGCTCCTCTGCCACACGCACACCCTCAGAGAACACCTAGGGCCCGGAATGGTCACCTGTGCCTCCATGACAGAACTGCAGACATTCCACTAAAATCCAGAACTGTTGCGCAGGAAGGCCTGGGATGTGTCACAGAAACCAATCCACCCTGCGCGCACTACCACACGGAGCGCACTTCTCAGAGCACCTTAGCTGGGAGAGATGGTGCGTGCCTTTAACCCCAGCAGAAACGGGTAGATGTTTCTGAGCTAGAGGGCAGCCACGGGCACACAGTGAGGCCCTGTCTCCAATGTGCGCGCACGAGCCCCGGACTTAAGCCTTAGCACTCAGGCAAATCCTAACTAGAGATCTCTGGACAGAGGCACAGACACTAGACAGCTTGCCCAAGGACACACAGACAGAGTTAGAACTCCACACTGTTTCACAGACACCTAAGAAGCACGTCTACAGGACTCAACATGGAGTGGTTCCCAGTGGGCAGCTGAGTCCCACCAGCACCACAAAGGAAGGCGACCCGCCAGACAATGTGGGGGGCGGGTAGAAGAGGGGCCCACATCCTATGGTCTCCCAGCCTCCGGAGAGGGAGAGCCGTCTCTAAGGAGTCAGGGCGGGTGACAGAGACTGCACAGGACTGGCACCCACAATACCTGTCAGCGGCTCACTGGGCGCCAGGGAAGGACCTGTCACTGCTACCCAGTGAGGCAAATTCTGCTGCTATCGCCACCTGAAGGGAAAGGAGCTGCCGGCCGGGAAAACCGAGTGCCCACGAGGAGGGCACTCAGTCTGTATCACGGCAGGTGCCAGGGCCGGGGGCTCAGGCACCGCACGTCCCGAGCCCTGCTGGCCCCCACAGCACCCCGCGGCCTTCTCTTGTGTCTGCAGGAAGGGCAGGCCCAGCTACCACCCCGGCCTCGCTTCCTCACACGCAGAGACATTTCCACCGCGCTGTCTCTGTTGCACACGGTCACTCAACGTCACGCAAACATCAAGACAAGGGTCCAGGGGACTCACGTGGAGGTGATGGTACGGAAGCGCTCCTGCCCCGCCGTGTCCCAGATCTGCAGCTTCACCTTCTCCCCATTGATCTCCACAGTCCGGATCTTGAAATCCACTCCGATTGTGGTGATGTAGCTGCCTGTAGGAACGCAGCCCATTACTCAGGGTAGGGAGGAGCCCTCTGGTCCCCAGAACGCCACCCCAAACCACTGTATGAGCCCCGCACAGTCAAGGCCCGAAGGACAGAGCCCCGAACAAAGAGAGCACACCGGCTCTAAGGAAGACAGGACCCCGTGACACAAAGGAAGAGACAAGCTCAGAACCACAGGCTACCAAGGAAATGAGAATGGAAGCGAAGGGCAGGGCAGGGACATGGCGGCTGCGACCCGAGAACATAGCAGACCTATTCATCCTGGGTTTCTCTTTTCTATTTTTTCTTGGGGGGTGACCTTCAAAACGGACTGAGGACCCAACACTGCACCTTCTTGGGGAGATGGCAGCAAAATATCCATGGTGAGTGTGGGGTGTGTGAGGCTAGTGTGGGGTGTGTGAGGCTAGTGTGGGGTGTGTGAGGCTAGTGTGGGGTGTGTGAGGCTAAGGCGGGGTGGGTGGTGAGTAAGGAGCCAGGCCGGGCCTCCAGGCCTTGTGCTATTGCTGAGGGTGTGCGCTGTTCCGCGTGTGTGACAGCGTGTGTGACAGCGGGGCCATGAGGTTTCACCAGCGCACAAGCTGCTACTGATTGGCGCTTCGGACGTCCGTGTGCAAGACGCATTTGAGAGCGGCTGCCGACTTTCACAGGCCAGCATGGTGCAGGCTTACAAACGCCGGCCTAAAGGCATGGCTGTCATTCCCTCCGGTCACAGCAGGGACCCTTTCAAAAGACAGACACGGATGACCACGCGAAGGGTGGCAAGGGCATGGGAAAGGCCAAGGTCCAAGGTGAGGCAGAAACAGAAGCAAGAAGTCAGCAGGAAAGCTTAGCAAATGTGGTGGAGACACAGCCCACACCCGGCCGAGCCCCCAGAAACCAGGCCGGCGTCTGGTATCTCCAGGACAAGCAGCTCCTCACACGTGAGCACACAAAACAAAACAGAGTCAACACACAACACAAGAAGAAAGCTGGAAACAGGTTCTGAAGAGCGGTGGTTCTCAACCAGGGTGGCTTTGTTCCCCTGAAAGCACAGGGAGTAATCTGGAGACAACTTTGGTTGTCACGGCCCAGAGACACTGCTCCACACCCCAACAGAGGCTTGGTTCGTTCCCAGCCCCCGCGTGAAGCTCACAACCACAGACACACATGCACATAAAACACCCAGATACAGTCCGAGAGAAAGTAACTGACAGGAGCGCAGAGGACCGCAGCTTCCTTGAAAAGCCACCCGGGAACTTGGTGAGGTGTCTCAAATGGGTGAAGGTGCCTGCTGCCAAGCATGATGACCTGAGTTCAATCCCACATGACGGAAGGAGGAAACCAACTCCCCAGTGTCCTCTGACCTACACACACACACACCCATACACACACACACACACACACACACACACACACTCACACTCACACACACACACACACTCCATGGTGTGGTGGTCTAAGGCCGGCCTCCATAGGCTCACGTATTTGAACGCTTAGTCACTAGGGAGTGGAACTGTTTGGGAGGATTTCAAGGATTAGGAGGCGTGGCCTTGTTGGAAGAACGTGTCACTGGGAGTTTCAAAAGCCGCGCCAGGTCTAGGCTCACTCACTCGCCCTCCCTCTGCTTATGGATTATGAAAGCTGTCTTCAGCTTTCAGTTACTGAGTGCTCCAGCGCAATGCAGGCCACCGGGTCCCCTGCCGTGGTGATGATGGACTGACCCTCTGAAACTGTAAGCGAAGCCCCCAATTAAATACTTCCTTTCAGTGCGGTGATCACGGTGCCTCGTCACAGCAGAACAGTAACTAAGACACGTGACATGTCCCCTCTGCCCTCAGCTTCAGTCAGATAAGGGTCTTTGGTTTCTCTGTGTAACAGCCCTGGCTGGCCTCGAACTCAGAGAGATCTGTCTGTGTCTGTCTCCCAAGTGCTAGGATTAAAGGTGTGCACCACCACCTCCTGGCATAAATAAAAGGTTTTTAAAAAAGAAATGTGGCAGTACCAAGCAAAGTTTAAACACTCTTAGACCCTGTGACCTAGTAACCTCAGTTCTGTGTGTACAAGAAGAAACAATGTATCCCAGAAATGCAGCATTGATTTAAACAGATGTAACCAGAAGCCACAGGCCCTGAGTGGTGTTAGTGAAGGCCAGTGCATCCAGACGTGAGCAACCTTCCCAGCCACTACAGAACGAAAGGAAGGCTGGGCATGTAGCATGTATGCCTTTAACCTCACTACTTGGTAAGTGGGTCTCTGTGAGTTCAAGGCCAACCCTGTCTATGTAGCAAGTTCCAGGCCAAACCAGAGATCCACAGGGAGACACTGTCTAAAACCAATCAGAACAGGGTGGGGGTCTGTGCACAGCAAGGCTGGAGCATGTTTCTGAACAGCAGGTGGGGTCAGGAAAGGACACCCACACCCTGAACAGAGGCTCCAGGGCAGCAAAGGGACAGTGCAGGGACAACTGTCATTCTTACGTTATGGACTTCTTCCTATTAGACATGGACTATCGAGTAGGACTAAAAACTCCTAAATGTGGGGCACAAACAGACCCTTGGTAGGGAAGCGAGGACCAGTAGGCGCAGAATTCTCACCTAAGCCTCCCCCCACTTGCCCTCACCCAACAACCTGAATGGTAAAGTCTCCTGCATCAGACAGAAGCAGTGGGTTCTGCAACAGGGAAGGAGATTTCAAAACCCGAGCACCCCACAGCACCCAGGAGGACTCACCTGAGAAGGTGTTGTCTGCAAATCGTAACAGCAAGCTGCTCTTGCCCACACCTGCAAGAGAGAAGGCATGGAGGTGAGCGGGGGGAGGAGGGGAGGGGCTCCCCGGAGACCACCCTTTGTCCTCCGTAAGAAGGAGACCACCCTTTGTCCTCCGTAAGAAGGAGACCACCCTTTGTCCTCCGTAAGAAGCCCAGGGCGGCCAGAACTCTTCAGGGCCAACCTATCTCTGCACACACCAAGAACATCTCTTCCAGTCAATCGCTGACCTTTTCCTTCGTCCTCATGTAAGACAAGCTGCTCTCAAATCCTCTGGGGGACATGACAGCCACTCACGCCCAGGCCCTGTTCTGAGGGCTGCCCCAGACAACAGAGACAAGCAAGAGGAAGGTCAACCAAACGAGACTGGTCCACTGAATCCTGCTTCCGGATTCGGCAAGGGCCTCGGCAAATCTCATGCCACTTCAGTTTGCAAGGAACTGGAAAGCTGGAGAGTCCTCGGTTTTATCAAGGCATTCTGCATGTGAAGAAACTGAGGCCCACACGACCAGATCCAGCTGTCAGTCATCGACCCCTAGCTGAGTCAGAGTGAGGCAGGGGTGGTGTGAGATATCTATGCACGGTATGAAGATGTACTGCTGTGATTGGGTTAATAGAAAGAGCTGACCGGCCAATAGCTAGGCAGGAGGTATAGGCGGGACTTCTGGGCAGAGAGAGGAAGTAGGAAGAAGAATCTAGGCATGAGGGAGAGCAGCCAGCCAGTGCAGAGGAAGCAGGATGGGCAGTTCGGAGAGATGAGGTACCGAGCTACACGATGGAACACAGATTTAAAAGTACAGGTTAAGCCGGGCGGTGGGGGCGCACCCCTTTAATCCCAGCACTCGGGAGGCAGAGCCAGGCGGATCTCTCTGAGTTCGAGGCCAGCCTGGGCTACCAAGTGAGTTCCAGGAAGGGCGCAAAGCTACACAGAGTAACCCTGTCTCGAAAAGCCAAAAAAAAAAAAAGTACAGGTTAATGTAAACTAAGAAGTAGTTAGGAATAAACCCTAAGGTAAGGCCAAGCTTTCATAATTAATAAGTCTCCATGTCATTATTCGTGAGCTGGCGTGGGACCCAAAGAAAAATCATCTACACAAGGAGTCTGCTGGATACCTACTTGGCTTCCCCCCGAGAGTGTCTGGACCACTGCACTTGGCACAGCAGCTCCTGGCTGTGCCTTACCCTGCCTTCCTCTTGACCGCCACACATACGGCTCTGATTGGCCAGTGACCTGCCTCCTGTCCTCATGTCTCCATTACCCAAAAGTGGCTAGATCAAGGAACCTCAGAATGAAAGATTAGCACACACTCGAGTCTGCATGGCAGCTCGTGATGCTCCCAGAATTCCGACTGTGTCTCCTCAGATGAGGAAAGCAGGACTTGAGGAATAAGCAGCTGACCTAAGATGCCTCCAAAGGTCAGACGCAGATCCAAACCCAGGCCTGCCAAGCACCTCTGCTGGCATCCTAAGGGCTTGTTGGCTTGCTCCTTCCCTTTCTACCCTTCCCTTCCCCCTCTGTTTTTGGGGGGTGGATGTGGGGTGGGGACAGAGTATTATGTAGGCCAGGCCACACTTGAACTCACTGTATAGCAGAGGATGGCCTTGAATTCGATTCTTCTATCTCCACCTCCCAAATGCTAGGGTTATAGGTGTGCTGGGGATCGAACCCAGGACTCTGTGCATGTGAGGCTAACACTCTACCACCTGAGCTATATTCTTAGCCCTTGATGGGGGCACTTTCAGCCGGTTTAGTAGAAATGCAAATGACTTCGGTTTCTTTGAAAAGCAATTTGATAATACCAAGAAACATTTAAATACCCCAGACCCAGTGACCGAGTATCCTCACTTCTGTGGAACTGCCACGCAAGAACAAACACAGTGTCACCCAGTGATGAAGCATGACTTAAAACGGAAGCAGCCAGAAGCCAGTGGATGTCAGCCCATCATTCTCGTGCATCTTTTTCAGGAACATCAATTGATCCCAGAGCTGGTACAGCCATCCTTTCTGTTCTGTTCTAACAAATGCCTTCAAAAGTACCACATCCTAACCTAGGACCCCATAAATGCCCTGCGACTGAAAGCAAATTTGAAGTGTATGTGCCTGTCATGAGAAACCCAGAGTCTGACTCCAATTCTCAAAGACAGCATTGCCCCACCCCCCGCCCTCAAATAACCAAGATTACAAACCACTGCTGCAGACTGAGCTGCTGTAGAAACACTGGTTTCTCTAACCTAACCCCAGACATCCTCTCCAGGTCATCTCCAGTGAGCAAGTCAGCAGGGCCACCCAAAACTTGTTCTCTGAGTCCACCCGGGTCCTACCTTCCCAAGAGGGTCTGAGGGTGCTGGGCTCCTGAGCACACAGCTGAGCATCCAGGGCACCTGTTGCTCAGCCCTCCGGCGCCCAGGGCTCAGCACCACTTCCCCATTGCTCTGCCACGAGGCTTCCTGCTAAACCCAAGGAGAGCCCAAGTTCTGGGCTGCTCCTCGTGGTGTTCTGCCTGATACTAACACCCCATTGGCCCTGTGGCCTCCTCTGCTTCCTCCTGAAGCCTTCTAGGTCCAGCTTACTCAGCTAAAAGCTCATGTCTGGCCATTAAGCAGTGAGTTCCCTAAGCACTAAGGACCTAGACCTTGCCGCCTTCACCCTATGCATCACTCGGTGCTGCGAGCTGAACCCAGCACTTAATACCTACCACCTAAACACCCTCCACAAACTGATGGCCGAACAAATATCAGCCTCGAACGTCATGCCATTACAGCAGCATTACCAGGGGCCATGAAGCAGCTTTCAAACCTTAGGGCAGGAGACAGCAGAATCCTTTTTCTTTTTTCCCTCAGACAGAGTCTGGCTGTCCTGGAACTTCCCAATGTAGACCAAGCTGGCCTCAGACTCACAGAGAGCCACCTGCCTGTGTACTCAAGTGCTGGGATTAAAGATGTGCAATACTATTAATATTACTGTTGTTATTATTATTAAATTTATCCGAGTCTCAGACCGTACAGACAAGGGGAAGGTGCCATCCGCAGTGACGGCAGGACCTAAAGTCCCCGGCTGCAGGATGACTAGTCACGGCAGGGTCTGCTGCCGTAGACCTGCACCGACCTCCAGCACCGCTATTCCTGAGAGGAACAGAGACCACGCCACCCACCTCCCAGAGAGGCCAGCTGCTGTCTACCCTGCACGTGCACCCAGCCAAGAAGTGCGAGACGCACTCTCCCCACAGCAGTGCTTCCCGCCAGCCACCTAGCGCCACGGTCTGCTACCCTGCAAGGGGCACGGGCACACCTCAGCACACTTGTGGCCTCTTGGCAGGCAAGCGATTTCACCCTTGGCCGTTACCCCCTCTGTCTGCTACTTTGGGCCTTCACCCCGGCTCTGTCCCGCTGTTTCCCTCATGGGCCACAGACCCACGAATTTTCTCTGCTTCAGCACCGGCCTGCTGTAAACTCAAGTGAAGCGCTACCAACTTCAATCCTGCCTCAGCGACCACCTTCTCGTGTAACCTCAGCCAAGCCAGGCCCGCCTCCCAGCCCCAGTCTACTCATCTGTTAAGGGTTTTAACTAGGTCTCCGATGGCACACCAGCCTCCAGGTTCTAAGGACGAGAGTGACTGGCATCGGTGGGCACGGTTATAAACCAAAGTCAATGCCACAACGCCTAAGAAGAAAGCAGAGAACCTCGGCTACAAAGAAGAGATACCCAAGCCAGGGAAGGCATCCCAGAAGTGTGCACGGTGGGAAGAAGGACTCGGGCTATAACTGCTTGGCGGCCCAGCACCACCTGCTCTGGCAGTGTTAGCGGGGACCAGCACTGGCTCCCAGCTTTGCTGCTGAAGCTGTGTGATTTGGGGCAGTCAGGCAGGCAGCTCCTCTAAGCCTTAGTTTCCTTATTTGACAAACCACAGAGGCCATGGGTGAGAATCAGATGAGAAAGTGTCTGTGAATCATTTGATAGACCTTAAGAAGCACACACTCAAGGGGCCCAGGGCAGGGCAGGCAGGTGATGATGTCAGGCTCCCCGCTCAGCTGCAGAGCTTATTTTGAACTCCCCTGGCTACCATCTCCCAATTTCCTAAGCGCTCAGCTTCGACGTTTCAGCTCAGTGTCAGGAGGCATCACACAGCCAAGTGTCTCCCTCCTCTCCACAACCCAGGCCTACACACTCACACTGAACTGGGAGCCAGACCACACAGACCCTGACCAAGGAGTCTTCTCCCACACCTGACTTCTGAGAGAAAGATTAAAAAAAAAAATCAATACACCATGTAAAATACACTGTAAGAAAGCAAGCCAAACCCATCTCCCGGGTTTCACAGAAAAGCCAACAAGCTACATCTTCTTGCTGAGTCTGGCACAAGACATCTTCAGGAAGGATAAAGACCTCTGACCACAGCAGGCTGACTTTAACTACAAAAGGAAAGAGATCACCATACCATCAACCACTCAGAACCAAGGCCAGAGGAAAACGCAAATCCTCAGCGTCCAGAGGAATGCCACAGGCTACGTCCAAGTTCAAGTTTACACAGCTTGCTCGGTTCTGTTTCATTCAAACTACAACCCACCAGCCCGCCGCCACCTTTCTAACTCCACCCCCGCCCACGGTTACTCTTCCTCCTCACTGGTTGGGCCCTAACTTTTCCCTGAGATCTTCCCTCCACACCAGCAACCACTGAAACTTCAGCCACCTTCCACCGGATCCAAACCACCAACCACGTCCCAACCCAGCTTCACGGGTGAGACCAAAAACCACTCACTTGAATGACCCAACTATGACACTGCCACCCAAGCCTACATCCGGAGTCTCAAGGGACTTGCTGCTCCATTTCCTTAATGATCCACAGGCTCTACCACCAACTTGGCCGTCTCCAGTCACATGACCCCGCATCCCACACTCAACTGAAGTCTGCTCTATAGACCTGGCTGCTCCCCAGCCTCCTTCCGAAACATCCTGGAGTCCTAGCACCTCAGCTACACTGCCTAGGACCTGCCTCCCCGAATTCTACGTCACTCCATAGACCTGGTCACCTGCCATACTCCAGACATCTCTAAAACGCTTCATCCTTGGCCAGAAACCAGTCTGACTTTCCCAAGGCTGCTCGGTGTTCATTCACTGAACACATGCATTTTAAGGCACCGGGTACCAGAAGTTGCTCTATGAATCAGCGATGGAGCGGTACTGAAGGGAGTGTGTTATGTGGACGAAGCACTTAAAATACTGGCTGAAGCATCCCCGGGTCCCCCTCTGGTATGGCAGTAACAACTGCAAACGCTGTCCACCCACTGTGTGCCAGACACATCACAGTTCTTTCTCATCACTGAGTGCTAACTAACCTCAGCCCCGTCGGGGCAGATCTACTACTACTACATTCTACAGATGAGGGAACCGAACCAACCAAAGACTTTGCAACGATTCTGCAGGAATGTGCTTATGGCTTTACCTGCCGCGCCTCATCCAAACGCACAGCAGCAACCCGGAGGGACAGGTCCTGGAGATACCCCCATTTCACAGAGGGCTCAGTCCTCACAGGGAGACTCATTCTGACCACACTAACAGTTACTTAGGGGTTTACTTTACATCGATCGGGCCAGGCGCTGAGCACTTTCCTTACTTTTAGCTCAAACGAATACTCTCAACGCCCAGCTGAGCAGGTCCCCACTTCTCGGATGCAGGAACTGAGGCTCAGAGAGGTGAAGCCAACTTGCCCAAGGTCACGGAGTGAAAAAGCCTGTCTTCCCCGGGACTCGAACCCGGGTCTCCCCCCAACTCCAGCGATCGCGCGACTTGACCAAGGTCACACGTGAGGCAGGAGCAAGCGCCGGGGCGTGCATCCCGCGCGCTCGGCACCCCGACCCGCAGAGGAACAGCCCGGCCGGGCCCCTGCCTGCACCCCCGGGGCCTG